TTTTTTTTGGAGATTTTCTGGTAATACAACGACTAACAACTGAAAGTGTTGTGCGATATTTACCGCAAAAGCACTTTGCTAAAACAATGGTAACGGCGAGCCGAGATGACAACACAGGGCTCAGAAAGTCTGCGTACTCGCATTAAAGATGGTAAGAAGCTTGTGATTAGCAACCAGATGGAAAAGGTTGCAGGACGTCCAGATGGACATAAGTCAAGGTCTAAGCTAAGAATAAAAACAGACATATTGGAGAAAACTGAGGATTTTTTGAAATAAAGATTAAATACAGACTACCGAGGGTGACGGAGTAGACTAAGAAAGTATGACTAACTATGAACTACTAAAGAGAAGCAATTATGATGAGAGAATAAGGCATCTTATGTACACATGGGCTGAACACGAACTGACTGCAGCCACTCATGTAGGGAAGGACTACCGACGCATCTTCCGAAAAGAATGATCGGTAATCATCAACCTCATTCGAGAGAAGCTGCTCTCCACACCCGAACAGAACCCCGAGTACAGAACAAAGTTAATGCCATCATTCTCACGCAACAAGCAGTGTCATAGCCAAACCAGATATGATGGAGTGCAACATGGTGTTATGCAGATGTTCTCAAAAAACTGACCTTGGCTACCACTAGCAAATTACGTGGAAATGCACTGCACCTCCTTCGTTCTCCCTCAAAAAGTGAACCCGAACAGGGGGAGGGGACAAATTGTCCACCGTCCCCTTACTCGCGCAAGTTTATATTAAAAACGAGAACAATGACGGGGAGAGTATAAATTAGGAATACAAGTGGTGCTATACATGGAACGAGGAAAGCGAGCGCGAACAGGTAACTGTGACGAGTAGAAAAAAAACTGATTGCTTCTGCGTGAAGTCTGCAACTGGGATCGAAATTTGATTTCAAAATAATTACAGATCCCACTGCAGAGAACACACATTTCAAGACACAAAGAAACCAGCACACTGATCTATACACGCATTAAAAAAGAAAAACTCAAACACATATTAACTACACTAATACCTAATTACACCGTGCGCAAAGATCATAACGCACGAACACATCACTGACTGTCCACACTGCTCAACCACCAGTTATGTACAAATATAATTCTGGGCCACTACAACTACTGGAGTGTATAGACTATGAAACAATCCGTCATTTGATTTCTCTGGACGAATTCTTCCACAGCACATACAGTGGGAACGATTGCACGCAACAACTCATGCTATATACAATATTAGCTCGAACCGGTGATGGTGTATAAGGGGGATGGGGGGAACCATAATGAACAAGAGAATGGGGTGCGACCCGGCTGAGGCATACCCGCTAAAACGCGGAGAGTGAGTGTGCGATAGTGATACAGTGGTCTAGAACGACGACGAGATATATTGGTATAGAAGTACTAGCAGCTAAAACGCTACATAGAGAAGGGTATACAAGACGGCATTATACGTTCACCTCAGTTTCACGATGCTGCTGAGCAAGCAAATCGGTCTTGGAGTTCTAAATGAAAAAGGTGAGTGACTATTGTAAAAAAAATGAGATATTCTTATATTACCTGTCTAACCACGGCACCCTGGCAAGTTTCCGGAGTAGGTCCACGACTTATACTTGCGATGTAACGACGCACGCCATTAACAGTTTTTAGTGGTGTAGACGGATGTGCTCCAGTCTTAATTTGAAACGATGAAGATACATCAGGACCCATATAGTCGACAGATGTTTTACAAAATTAGATTTTACTGTACATGCGCAGTTACAAAAGAAGACATGTTGCACACAATTGACATAATCTTCGTTTTAAGCTCAAATACCCTAATAAAATCAGAAGAGAACGAACTCAATCAGTAGACTGTCGCAGACGCGAGATGTTGACAGAATTTTAATAAGTCTTGTATGTAAATGTCATAAGCTGTAAAGACATGGAATCTACAAAGGATAGCAAGCATTGTTTGACCAAAAGAAATTAAAGGATAAGATCGATTATGTCTTACCTCAACCGCAAATGTTTCTGCCTTTGAAGCAACACCGGAACGCGAGTCAGCACCATCAGTTATCTTTTTAGCATTGACGGC